TGTGATGATGACCTTGAGTTAACGGTAAAACAAGATTATTAATTCAGGCTACAATTATTTGCATTACAGCCGAGTAGCTGCCCTACAGTACTTTCATGTTTCTAATTAGTCCAGATGATTATGGAAATCATTTCAGTTATGGTAATTACCGTCCGTTAAGATTCTCTGAGCAAATACTGTGTAAGTGTATGTGATTAAATCTAAATCCAATCTTACCTTCAACCATTATACATTAAGAATCCTAAAAAGTTGTAATCTTTTGGCAGTAAAATTAATTAGAAGAGTGAAGATACTCAATAATGAGCCACAAAAGAACTTTTCAGCCGGCCCAATTTTTTGTTCACAGGATATGGTGAAGGACAGTTAACTACTCTGAGATTCTGCTATTAAGCCTGGATAAGAGTGAGTGGAAGATGGGGAAAAAGTGTAATGAAATGGAGAGCTTATGCAACAGTGAAGTCAGCGTATAAGAGCGGTTCAAGGTTGCGTCAAAACACCTCTACTGGCAGAGAGGGGAGACAGGAAGGTTATGCGGTTGTGACTTAAGAGGAGAAAGGATATTTCATCCGTATGACTGGAAAAGAAGATGTCCTTCGTAATACTAATATTATATTTTCAGAAAAGAATTACATCATGCGGTTTTCACATAACCTTTGCGATAAAGTCACTCTTCACATTCCATTCATTGGCTGTTTAGACACTTGGGTTTTCACAAGGGAATGTGAAATTCAGTTTTATACCAAGGCTGGTAAATCCAATTCAAACACCAGTGACTAGAACTGGGTTGGTAATGTTGATGACAACCAGATAGAAAGGTTTTTATCACAGATGATTTAACCAAATCAGGCAAGTGGAACTACTTTGATACTGGGAGAGATGCAGAAATCTATGACGGCAAGTGCAAAATGTATATGATTAATCATGCTTTAAAAGGTCCCTCTGACAGCCTGGTTGCATCAGTAGCAAATGGTGGAAAATCGCAGTGAAATTAATACTTTCCAAAGGAATGGCTGCCATCAGTGGACTTTAACACACTAATTTGTACTGCAACAGATCGTTTTGAAATTGACAACAAAAAGTATATACTGAGGAAAAAAAACAAAACCAAACAAAAAACCCACTGTAAAAAAAGACTAATAATAATAATAATAAAGCAGAATACCTTCTCCCAGGCACATTAAAACACCCTCATATAAGGGGGTCACTCCATTAATGAAATCAGAAAGAATATACATCCCTCAGACACACACACCACACACCACACACAGGGAAACACAGAGGTTCTATCAAATCACTTTGACAACAGTTGAGGGGAAGGGTTGGGTGCGTAAGCAAAATGTGTGTCTTTATACTTCCAGGAATCTTCCAAAGCCTAAGTGTGTGACTAGCTGTTACACTTGGATCTCTGAATCCTCCCTCAAAAGAAATCTGAAGGGTTTTAATCATTTTGCTATCAAACCTGGGGGGATCAAGCTTCAAATCTCTCCATCTTCACAGAGCTATACTTTATAGCTCTGCTGAGCCGCTTTCCGTGCTTACCTATTGTGAGGAAATCTCTGTCAACTTCTGAAAAGAAAAACATTATGAAATTCTCCTCCTGCTCTTTAGACATTTCCCCCTGCTGATTTCTGAAATGTTACATTACTTTAGGCTACGTTCACACTCAAAGCAGTAGTGCTCAATTCTGATGTATCGCTCAGATCAGATTTTTTTTGTTTGGCTGTTTACATTATTTGTTAAATTAGGCCCATATCAGATTCCAGTGTGAGCCGCATGACAAACATACATCTAGAGTGACATAACAGTCACATGAATTCTGATACGACTGAGGTCATATTGCAAAAAGTCAGAGCTGTGTCTGATTTGGGCCACTTTCATACGTGGTCCAAATCAAATACATTCAGAAACAAATCAGAAAAGATCAGATTCCATGTGATTTGGGCTGTTCACACTGTCAAAAAAAAAACAAACTAAAACAGCAAAAAAATCTGAATGGGGTCACTTGTGCCTGCAGTGTGGACGTAGCCTTAGAGCTCATATTGTTTCCATTATTGATAATTTCCCTTCCTTTCATGTGGGTTTCACTTTAGGCCCATGTAGGTGGATCATGGGAGTTGTTGTCTTTGTTAAAAAAACACCATTATTGATGAAAATCTATCTGACGTGAAACAGGCAGAAATCACTACCCAGAAGTAAGAAAGAAATTTACCGTTACTTGAATAAAATTCGATTTCTCTGGGTTTGACCATTGTTGGAAACATTTGGGACAATGTAAGTACACGATTCAGCAAAACATATAACATGGTAGGCATGGGACGATATGAAAAGTCATGATTCTCTTCTCCAAAATAATTGCAATACATGATATTATTGCCATTACCATGAAAATATACCTTTAAAATGGCATTAAAAGACATTGGAATCATGTTACCTCACATTATTTTAAGAAACACATTTATTGCATCACAGATAGGCACCTCATGTCCCTGCTCTTTATTTAGAAATCTATACTATTTCCACACATCCTGATTAACTTATTTTGTTGGGAGGTACAACAGGAAAGCTGAGCCTTCAGCTGTGGTGACAGGATTAGGATTTTGGAATACCTGGAAGGATGCAGGCTCCCCCTTGTCCCCTTGTTATACAGGACTGTATGCTGGCGAGCTAGGCGGCTTTTTTAAGTCAAGCCATGTGAGGATATTCACGATTATCACGATAATGGAAATTCACCATGATAAATTCATCAAGAAAGGAGTGTTTTTATCGCGACATGTGATAATATTGTATATCCTCCCATCCCGGTAACATTGGTCTAGTTGGTTTTTTGCAGAAATGTTACATATTATATGTTTAACTCCACTAAATCTATTTATCTTTTACAGCAATTTTCTAATAGCGCAGACCCAATTGAAGACTTCCCAGCATGGCTTTTAACTGTGACATGCAATAAAAAAGAAATATAACCTCAAACATAACATAGAGACGGCCAGCTGGGCAGAGAGCTGCTGTTAACATTTCAACAATCAATGAGCACATATTGATCGCTTCTGAATGGTGGGGAGCAGAGGTAAATATATATCATCGCTATTGAATGAATCAGCGAGACAAAGGTCAGGCCTCTCTCACACTCACACACACATACTGTACACTGGGACACGCTTCATCCTTCCCTCCGTCCACCTCCCAGTGTGTATCATCAGAAGAACACCACTCAGATCAGCGGTAATCCCTCCCCTCGTCTACAGGTTTACAGTACTCGGCGCTCCCTCCCCGGGGGTTTACATCACTTTATTACACAGAGATTAATGTACCGAGCCCTCACCTAGCAGCCCGGACTTTCGACAACATGCGAACCTGCCAATTACTCACAAAGCCTTGAAAGGTCTAGGCGGCCTGTGGGTGGATTACAAGGAACTGAGAGAAGGAACGCAGCTTCTGAGCTGAGAGTGATCAAACTTCAAAGGACTCGCTGTCGACACTGAGCGTTAGAGATCATAAAGTATATGGGAGCATGGGAGGAGGACACGTGTATGTGTTGGTCTACATGTGACATGCAGTCAGATTCACAGCTTATTCCAGCTTTCCGTTGACACTTTCACTTTGTGTGCAACCGCTGCATTTTGCACAAAAGCCTGGCTAGGGAGACTGCATGTTCTGTCCATGGGCTTATAGAGGGGCTACTGCAGAATCATGTGATCAGTTTGCTGGGTGCTTATTTTTAGCTGTCAGAGAAGATACAAACAACTCCAAAATGCGATAATGCCAGGTTCTAGCAAACCAATTATAGGCAGCGGTCACCAGAAGTCACCAAATAATGTCAATGGTCAATGTCAATGGCATGGTGGCTACAGCTTTCTGATCTTTGTGGGTTTCTTCAAAATACATAAGCAACAAGTGTAAATCGGTACAGCCTTTATCAAAACATAAATCTTTCTCCCGCTGGTTTATATGTTTCTCAAGAAATAAGGTCATGAGGGTGGGCTGTATATTCAGAAATCTAAAGACACAAAAGAAGAATTGAGCTGCTTTTTAAGTTTGATATGTGGTGAGACATGCACAAGCATAAAATTGTATTATAAAGAGACAACCAGCAACCATTTTATTGCAGTTCACTACAAACACCTCATATTGGCACTGGAGGAAAAGTCAGTAGATCAACAGTAGGATTTATCATCTGGGGACCATGATTATCTGTACAAACTGTCATGTCAATCCATCCAGTAGTTGAGCCATTTCAGACTGCACCAATGTGGTAAACAGACGGACACTTCAGTCACTAGTGTGGCTAGAAATGTGTTTCCCTGCAGCTGCAGAGTTTGTAAAGCAGAGAGCGGTTCATTATGACATGCTTGAAAACAAATGCCTGTAATTGGTGTTTATCTGTGAATATGGCTCACTTGATTTGAGGCACCATGCAGGGGAGGCAGTCTTTATGCAAAGCACCAATATTGCACCCAATCGAGCATCCAAAAGCATAAGAACTCTGCAATGACAATACTGTAGAATGAAAGGAATTTCATATATAGCACTCAATGAACGCAAAATTGTATTTTTTGAAAGGCTCAAAAACAATGAAACAATGCTCTGGTTTCTCAGACTCACTGTGTTCTCAGTACTCGGTATATAGCTTTCACTTGTAAATATGTCTTTGGTCAATATGTTCTTTTACAATTTGGATTAACTGACAAACTTTACATCAAAACTGATCCTATTGATGATTGAAAATAAAAAAAAATGGATTTACTGAAGTAAAAATACTAGCAAAATACTAGTCAACAGTGAGGTCATGGTGGGTTGTAGACTTGTACATTTATAATCTATCAGTTTAAGATTTTGAGCGTTTTTTTTTAATGAAGAAATATACTTTCCCATGCGGTTCTTACTTAATGCTATTGTGCAAACAGCTGTTAATCAACTCTGACCGGTTTGTGCACGTGTGAGGTTGTGTGAAATGTGGACTGGGTTTCTGGGCGTTAGTTTCAGGAAGCTGTGGTCGGATGCGGGGTGGAACGCTGGGTGGGGAAACACACAGTGATATTAAGAAAGATGAGAGAAAGAGATTAGTCCAGATTGGACGGGAACTGAGACACAGCTCTGCAGGTAAACAACGGTGCACATTTTACATTCACACCTTGGACACAAAACTATTTTACGTTGCAGCAGTGTTCAGTTTTAAGTTTAGAGTATAATAATTTGAGGTTTTTGAAGTTTTCATGTACTAAGTTCAGTACTTCACTATTTTAAGAATTTGTGTTTAGTGATATAGTTAGCATGCTTATTGTTGTGTTCAATACAGAAAAAGTTGAATCAAACCAGCTACTTTATTTATAGCATTTAAAGCGTATGGAACTTTTGAGAGATTAAATAACACTTATAAATTACAAATGAAAAGCTGAATTCATGAGTAAGAACATTCAATGCACTCAGTGGTTTTGCTGCAACTGCCTTACTTGGTCTAGTATATTTATGTTGGCTAATGCTAGCTAGTTAGCTTACCAGCCTATTATATGGCTGCATAAAGGACATTACAGAGTCAGTTTGCTGATTTTATGAATGCCACTTGCGTTGCAGTAGCTTAGCATTTTAGCTGACTTCTAAAAAGTAGTTTAGCATCTCTTTGTTAAACTACAGCTGTCATGGTTGCAAATGAAAACGGGTGTGTATTCAGTTTATCGACACCATCCTTCGACTACATCACACGACTGATGGGTGTATCTTAGCAGCTAATAATATCTCTGTTGTGAAAAAGACATTGTTTGTGAAAGATGTGAAACTTTGAGGAGAAGAAGGGCGTCTTCTGTTCCTCTTTTCAGAATTTAAACACCCTGACCCCCCTACATCCTCTCACTTTCAACATGCGTTTCTTCACAGGCTTATTTATGCTCACCAGACCTGACAGACACTGAGGACCCACCCCTTCGAGCAAGATGAGCAAATGTTCCGCCGCTAGCCCAGCCCGTGCCAGCTGTGGCTACGCTAAGTGTGGCCAGATGAGTGAAAACGTATTGAATGCTAACCACGTGAGCCTCAGAGCTGGGAACAGAGACTGCAGCAATGGCCAAGGACCAGGGCATGTCTCAATACACAGCCAGGAGCCCAGAGAGCGCCCTTTCTCAGTTGTCTCCTTCTCTAATGGGACCCCACGATCTCATCAGCGACGGTGGTCAGCTGACTTTTCCAGGTGTGCAACCTCCCCCGTCATTATTGTGAGGAAGAACAAGAAGGAACCACAGCCTCCTCAGCGGAGCGTATCCCTCCTCCGGCCTAACTCAGCATCCCATCCTTCATTCAAACGCTACTCCTGTCCCCCCATTGGGGTCTCACCACGTTACCGGTCATCTTCTTCCTCCTCATCCTCCACTTGTTCCTGCTCCTCTCCTCCTCCTGTCCAGACATCTGTCATCACCGGCCCCGACCCTTTAGGCTGGAAGTTGCGTCCCAAGTCCAGCTCCACCTCCCCCCGGGCTCGTGCCAACAGGCTGTCTCTGCAGATTCCCCTCCCTGTCATCTTTCCTGACCCCAATGCTAGTCCTGGACTTTACCCTCAGTCAGACAACGCTCCCAATCCAGACCCCTCCCCTAAAACCAAACCCCCACTCAGACCCAAACCATCTCGTCGCCGCCACTCAGACTCCTCGACCTTCCTCAGATCTTTCCTGCCCTCTGTGCCTGCGGTGACGCTTGAGGAGCTCTGCGCTGTGCATCTCCGCACAGTGTCCCTTTCGGATGACGATGTCTTCAGCGGGGGGAGTGAGAAGGAGGCGAAGGCGACAACTCGGCCACGCAAAATACCGCCACCCGTTGCAGAAAAAACCGCCATGGCAAGACAAATAGCACAGCTGATTGCTCATTCACGGCAACGCTGTAACCCTAAAGAAAACATTTACGCCACTGTTACAAGGCCAAATCCTAAACATACACTCCAGACTGAGCACCACAGCAGACTGCATGGGAGAAAAACTGGTGAGCATAAAAAATCCAATTACTACATGTAAAGAAAGAATATACACATAAACAAAACTACAAAACAAACTGCACCTCTAACTTTACACTAAAGTAGAAGAAGTTAAACTTGTCGTGAGCAGTGTTGGTAGGGTTACTTTAAAAAATATTACTGTTCTGGACCAAAATACAGCTAAGGGAATGTGGTATAAAGGCAGAACTGTTCATGTGTAAACCCAATGGTGTTGAGCATGAGCATGGAAAAATACATGTTTGTATGTATGTATGTAAAAGGCTTTTACGTTTAGTGGTATTATTAGAGTTGTAGAGATGCAAAAGAGAGTTTTTAAAACAATAACTGTTAAAGCTGCAGTAGGTCATTTTTATAAAACTCATATCTGCTTAAACTTTCCCTTTATCCTGACAGTAGTACATGAGACAGATAATCTGTGAAAAAATCAGGTTCCTCTGTCTCCTCTTAGGGCTCCTAATGGCATTTTCAAGAACCCACCGGGCCTGAACGAAAAAAACAATCAAAGGCGAGAAAGATGGGTAATTGTTGAGTCTTATTCCCAGGGAGTCAAATACAGATGCTTTGGGACCCTGGGAATGAGGCTCAACAATCAGCTAACTTCAAGCTTTCAACCCAATGGATTATCTGTCTAATGTACTACTGTCAGAACACAGTGAAAATTTCAGCAATTATGACAAAAAGGTGTTTTTTAATAAAAGTTAGCTACTGCAGCTTTAATGAACATATAAAGATTGCCGTCTGATGGTGGGAGGTGGACATGGGGAAAGACAGATTTAAACTTAGAATGGTCACAACTGATGCAGCAGAGGGTGAGCTATCCTGACTTTTAGTTAGCTTGGATCAGGCTCCAAAAACGCAGCATCCAACACTTCCCATAATGCAACATGATTAAATCTTTTGGTTAAGACTCTCCCTGCCTGGAAAATGCTCACATGCTTCCAACTACTTTAAACTTTGCCATCTTCTGGCTCAAGCTAAGATAACCCTTATGACATCATCAGGGGTACGTTCTTATACTATTTAGTTCCCTGAAGGCAGCATTATGAAATTACAACCTGAGTACAGCTGCTGCTGCTGCTGAAGGTCATGTGTAGTAAACAGTAAATAGATGTTTATAAAAATGATGGGCAGCATTGTCTTGAAAGTTTGCAGAAGATGTAATTGTAGATGCCTGAGTGCCTTTCACCCTGATTAGCTTTTGATTGATTTCATTCAGCATGTGCTGAGAGGAGAGGAGGGGCTTTACTGTGTCAGTCAATAGTAACAGCATTGTCTGTGTTTCAGAGGGGCTGCGCGTGGACACCAGCTGCGACAGGGAGAGGTCCACTCCACGCTTCCCCGGCTGAGGAGAACTGAGAACCTCCAACAAGAGCAATTTTATAGATTAGGGTACATGTACTGTATGTCCAGGGGATGGGACAACATTGTTAATTTGCCCATATTTTTTATGTTGTACTCAAAAAGTCTAAGATTTATATAGTTTAAAACACTTCTGTAAATATTGTCTAACTTCTCTCTGTTGTGGAAATGTGACTTTATTCTTTACAGAGAGTTACAAGCAAGTGTTGCAATGTGGTGCTACTTGTTAAACAAACCCTCCAGTTGTTGCAATCCTGCTGGTTGCTAAGACAGATAATAAATCATTTCCCTTTAAGCTACTGCCTGTAAAGTGTATGAAATGGTGCCTGATGTGCTCTGTAGATAACAGATAACTTATGATCACAGATATATTCTTCCTAGTAAAACTAATAAATCTGAACTTATAATCACTGAGGGGTATTAGTTGATTCATTGATTAGAGAATGCAATGCAATACATCATTAATCAATCATCTCCGTTATTTGTTTGTTAACTTTTTTAAGCTTGGAACCTTTGTCAAAAATAAAATCTTTCAAGTTTGCATTCTTTAATTGTTTTTTTTATTACTGTTAGTTGAATACAGTATTGTTAATAGAGCTTTTTAACAGATGGTCAAACAAAGCAAGCATTTTATTACATGCCTCTGGTAACGTATGAATGGTATTTGTCATTATTTTTGATACTTTATAGGTCATTTAACCTGTTAATCAATGATCACAACTCTAAAATTATTGGAGCCGTGTGAGTGTAGGAATTGGATTACATATTTTTTATAAACTCGTAAATCGTGCTTCTTTTGTTTGTTTTTATCAGCAGTCCCCATGGTCTGATGTCTCCGACACTCTGCCTCTAGATGAATTGCTGCTGTTATGCTCCAGTTCAGGCTTGGCAGGCCCTTACTATGTATAATACCATACTTGGATAAACCTTGGTGTGTTTGCCTGACAGATGCACAGCCACACTCACAATGTGCAGCGGCAAAATCTAACTTCGCTTGAGGCTGCAATGTGACTGGAATAGTATGCAGGATTCACTACAGGTGCAAAGTGCTGAGGATCTTGCTTATCTTAGGACAGTGAAATAAACAAAAAAATAGGCTCAAGACAGAAAAAAGCTTCAAGTTTATAGACCTTCTAATCACAAAGGAGCAGCTGCTTATTCAGGGAAATCGCTGGGAAAATAGAAAAAAAACACAACTGTGTTATCGCTGTGTATTTACCGGTGGAAGGTACAAACAATAACAGTCCTACTAAAGCCAAGTAATACTCATCATGCTTTTACAGCTACAGATGGGCCAAATTTGCAGTTACTCACTGTTGTGAGAGTATCCAAAAGAAAATACTAAAATGACAAAACATCACTCTGACCCTACACTATCGAAAGTAGCAGCCCAGGTTTAGGACTTAAGCCTTGCTTTATATTCACATTATCTACTGGTGACACACTTGGAGGATTAAGTGTTGAGGGAAACTGAACCAATGGGTGAGACTTCCGTTTTATGGGTCCCAAAGTGTCCTTTTAATTTCCAAGAAAGGAACAGAACGGTAAGTGGGAAGGTACCTGTAATTGGGTACGAATATCAAAAGGAAAAGAGACCGTCTACACTTCAGTGCCCTTTCAATTATTTAATTCCAATTAATTGTTGGTGTACCTTAAAGAGTCTTTTAATTAGTACACATACAAACGTGATATTGGACAATGTGCAGTGATTTATTATTGCTTTTTCATAACGTTAGGGAGCTCACAAGACAAGGATAAAAAAGCAGACAAAGTGGAAACTGAGGCAGGAGAGGACGAGATATCCTGATTCACCCTAGTACTGGCCAAGCTCCAAAAACACTGGATCCTACATTTCCCATAATGTAATTTAATGCTGTCTAATACTTCTTTCAAATCCCTCACCTCCAGTTTGTTGTGCAGGCTTTTCAGTTAAAACATTTTACGTTCCCTCCAGAGCCAAATATCATACAGCTGGTTTCACAGGTTGAGTAGTGCTCTTTTTGATAAGTAAGTGGATCCTTTAAGGATGGGAATTGGGAATCAGTTCCAGTTGAGAACCAGTTGCAAATTGTCCAATCCATCGGAATCGTATGCCACCGGGCTTATCAGTTCCTTTTATTAAGGCCAGCATGTTTTTCTGACAGTTGCGCATTGAAGAGCAATGATGTAAAACTCATGTGTCTACACTGCTTGAAACAAGCAGTCATAAGAGAGAGGAAGAATCAATCCGAAGCGTGTCTTCATTTCCTAAAGGAACTGAAACAGTTATAACTTTACTGTTGGCGTTTGGTTCCGACTCAAGGTAATACAACAGTTGTGTTGATGCTGAAAACCTCTGTAGCTTGTAGCTGCTCTTTTAGAAAGTTTGATCTGTGAAAACAACTACTAGTAGACTCCACCCTGATCTCTTCTATTCTTGGTTTTAGGATTAGAAAAATAATCTCATCTCAAGGTCCAATTGCTTGTCTTTTTGTTTACTAGATATCTATAATCTCTTAATCTTTAAAGAACTTAAATACATGTAGTGGGTGCACTGTCTAACTGTGTGTATTTTCTCAGATCATTGTCTCATTTCCTATAATTAGTACCAAATTACATCATCCTGTACAGGAAAATTCTTGGGAAGTGGTAAGTACTACTGTGCCAGTAAAATATAGCATTACCACTGATGTCTGATCAACAATCTTCCAGCCTGATTTAAGCTGATTTCCCAACTGTTAACTGAATGTTTACAGAAATAAAGAATACTGTATGACTGAGAATACCTACATCCATCATTTTGGTCAATGCAAAGTTATTTTTCTTTTCACCTTTGATTGATGCAACCCAATTAGACCTTGCCTGCTATCTATATTAACACAACACAAATATTATCTTTCACAGATCAATATTTGGTCATATTTCAGCAGCAGATATATCGAAAAATAAAACTATAAGTGGACTAAATGTGGAAAAAATCTGCAGACAGAGGAGTTTGGATTGAGTCAGTTGTTGAATCTGGGTTTGGTCCGCTGAGATGAACTGCTGGGTGTCGAGCAGAGCAAAGAGAAATCTGCTGTGTAGGCTGCAGGCAAAGCTGCAGGCAGGTGAGCAGTGGGACTAGAGATCATTATGCATACACATAAACATGTGCAGAGACCCCCGTACCCATACACACATTGTATGTCTTACCCTGTGCATGCAAATCAGAAGCTGCTACATTTCATATTTCCTCATTAATTCACTTTTTACATTTGCTGAAGTACAAATGTAAGATGTGCTTGGATTAATCACAGTTGATATTCTTTATTCAACCTAACTTTAATCCCAAAATTAAACACTGGACTAATCCTCTTTCAGAAGAGAAGAGGAATTATTCTGCAAATATTTCTAAATTCTTCAGTTCTAAAACTAGATAGAAGTACACAAATACAAAACTTCATACACTGTTCTCTACACAACAATCGACTATGTTAAGATCTCTTGTTCCTAATTTTACCTGCATCAGCTACTGGGAAATCAACTCTTTCTGTCAATAAAAGACTCTCTGCACTGATGAGGAAGAGTCTGGTCACATGAGACTCACAGAATCACTCTGACAACACACAGGGTATGATCACACCCACAGTTTGCCTCTGATCCACACCGGGAACGGAAAACTTTTGCTTCATTGAGTTTCTTACGACTAAGTTAAGGTGGCATTATGCAGTCAGCCAGGCTTCCAGGAGTATTACTATTCATTTCTCCTTCAAAAGGAGACTTTTTTTCTTCCTCTCTGACATTCAGTTGTCTGCATGTGATGTGTGGAGACTGGTAAGTGGAGCTTTGAAGAACTTTTAATTAATTTCATCAATTCCGTTTTGGATTTTGATTAAAACTGCTGTAAGGGAATGTGCATTTTGGCTAAATTACTGTTGTAGTCCCTCCCTCTGCCTCCCCTCACCACACTGAAATAATGCTGCCTGGTCTGTAAGGAGTTCTCTCTCCTGATTGGATAAGATAAGTGGGAGCGGGAAAACACAAACGGGTTATCTGTTTACTGCAGAAAAGACGGACTGGGAGATCCACGTTACTGACTGAACACAATCAGTGATAGCTGTCAGAATATAGAGCTATTTATTGCTTATTTAAAAAATATCACTCCCAGCTCCTTTAATTTTGGATCTACTCAACAACTATCATGCAGCATTTTATTCCTGAATTACAATGATGAATGCACGGACAGCACACGCACACACACAGCTGGATAGAGTAGAATAAATTAATTGTATTCCCTTACTAAGCACTGGATGGACTGCACAGACAGAAGTGGTCAGGATACAGGAACTGGGATATGCCAATCTAAGGAGTGACCCTAACAAAATTGCTCGCTTTGATTTGTTTTATCTTTCATTGCCAATGAGGCTCATGGGTATTATATTTTTTAGGACAATTCGAGAAAGAAAAAAAAATTATTGGTCAGGAACAATAATGACTTCTGACCAATGGCAATAGTGCTGTACATGTATGCAGGAGACTGTAGTGGTTCTGCTTTATAAAATTGGCTCATCCTAAGGTAACCAAAACACTATATACATTTTACACCAATGAAATATAGTTCTGAATATTCCATTTCTGCCAGCAGATCCTTATAAATGTTATACATTGGGCCTTTAATGCTGAGGATACACCTCCTGAGAGTCCTAACAAACTAATGACAGTGTCAATACTGACCTCATTAAGTGATCAGATTCTTCTTAGCTTCTTAGTACAAACGCAATCTGAATTTTCACAAGCCAAAAAAGAAAGTTGGTGCAACATCTCCACTCATAGTTAGGAAGCGATAGTTACAGGCTCATGATACAGTACAAATGGTGGACTGATCTGAGTGACTGAGCGGAAGTATCAGAATTGGTCTCAGGAAAGAAAAAGTGGGTTTAATAAACCCCTATAACAAACCACAGCACTTTTTAAGACATCTTAGTGGTTTTATTCAGAGCCACCTGAGCTCAAAACACATGTTCCCACCCACTCAATAAACTAAAGCTAAAGAATCCAACACTTCAGGGTTTGAAAAGATGCTCAAACACGCTTGCTGTGAATGAACCTCAGATATAACTTTTCACTCAAACCGATTAATAAGTGAAACTCGAAGAGTAAGAGGAACAAAAGTCTCAGGAGTCTAAATGAGATGGCTGGATGCACTCCGCCTCTGAGGAAGAACAAGGAGAGAAAGATGAAAAGGCTGAGAGGAAGAGATCTTTTCATCCTTCAGAGCGAGGAGAGCAGAGGAGGCAGAACAGGCCGACACTTATTAGCCTGCTGCACTCTGAGTGTGTGTGTGGTGACACTGTGTGTGTGGGACAGTGTCAGGTTGTGTGAGAACTGTGTGTATCATTGTGGTTTTGTGTAAAAGTGCACACCTCAGTGTGTGTTTGTAATCTGTCCGAGTAAGTGGAATGTGTGTGCATTGGTTTGGGAATTTGCATGCGGCTCCCACAGCAGTAATGAAGACAGAGAGCTTTGCTCATCTTTACAGATTCCAAATAAAGTACTCAATAATTCTGAAT